CTGGGCGGCTGCCGGAGCCGGAGCTCGTCGGGCCACGCGAGCCCCGCTGTCGGGCGGCAGGTGCTGCCCCACGCTGCTCTTTCCCACGCGGGTTTGACCCTATGCAGGCGACCCTGGGCTCTGCCCTCGCCCCCGGGGACCAGCGACACGGGTGAAGCAGTGACCCGGGTGTGAAAGACAGGTCACACCATTGGCTGGCGGTGGCAGAGGGATCCCCGCTCCCCCGCCTGCAGGGCCTGTCACGCAGGGACAGTGTCCACGTGCACGTTTTCACTCCGCGCTGTGCTCAGGTCAGCACCGAGGACCATTTACCAATCAGGAAACTAGGAAATCACTCCGGCAAGTCACACGGCAAGCTTTAAAAAAATAAAGTTTAATGTGTTATGTTACATTTAGGTCACCCCTGAAAACGCTTTTAACAGCGATGTGTTCACACTCGGCGCACGAGCAGGCAGACCTGGCCCACCGGTTAACCACATACCGGTAACTTCCAGATGACACCAAACAAGGAAAACAGGAAAAAACAGAAGACAGCTGGCAGATCGCCCCCCAAAACGACTCAAATTGAAACAGATCCTTTGGGGAGAAGCAAACAGCCAATGCTGAGGATCCAGCGAGGAAACCCTATCTGCTCAGCTCGCTCAGTGCAAATTTGCTCGGGGCAAATCCTCCTCTTAGCTTTAAGAAGCCCCTGTCCTGCCCTCTTCCCGCCCCCCTGCCGTGGCTGGTGAATAGCTGTAGACGCACACGCTGCCATCTTTCTGTCCAGCCAGCAGGTAGGAGTCCCTGGCTGACCACCTCACCAGCGACCAAGGCTCGCCAGACTCCGGAGGAAGCAAGGTAGCGCAGTCCCCGAGGAGCAAGTCCCACACTGCAATGGTGCCAGATGTTAAGACAGCTGCTGCGGAGGCGTCCTTCACTTCGCCCTCCAGGTACCTAGAGCCATGCACAGAACAGTGAGGATTCTGCAGCGCTGTTCACGTGAAGTGTTATTATGTGAGATACCACACTATTATTCCACATTCACTCACTGTGTGTAAAATAAATGCAAAGCTTCCGCGTGGAAAAGCATCTTGTGGGTAACAAAAGCAATGAAGAATTTAAGCCAATTGTAGGAAGTGGCAGTGCCACGCGGATTGTGTTCTTCACTGCATGCGAGCAAGAGGCAGGAGACAGCCCCGTGGTGTCACTCGCCTAGAAATGTAGAAGCTGCTTAGCATCACGATGTCGTCTCAAGCTGCAAAGCACTTCTGCATGTAAGCAAGGCTGCATGATTTGAGTGCAGCTGCCTCAGTCTCCACAGTGAATATAGCAGGTCATCTGTCTACCAACTGCAACCTCCTAAAAAATGTGCTCATCCCTCGAAAGAAGTTCCCAAAATGTTTTTAAAGCCCTTCCAGTGTCAATTTGCCTGTGCTTTAGCAGGGCTTTGCCTGCAGGACTAACTTCTGAATCCAGTGACCTGACCTCTCATCCCACAAACATTTCATGAGCAAAAGCCGTTCCCTGGTCACAAACAGGGCTCGCTCACAAAGAAGTCCCTGACGCAGCAGGACGCAGGGAGCTCAGAGGTTAGCTCACAGACTTGTGCAGGAAGCAGGCAGGAAGCAGGCGACACCCTCCCTGCATTCTGCTGGACGTACAGAGGCTGTCCGTGATTTATGGCAACCTCATTAGTGTCAAACAGTGGCAGGTGGGTCCTTGCAGATTGCCTGCCCTCTCAGCTGGGCCACAGACAGCTTTTATCCTAGAACAATGGCAGCTCTCTACTTCCAGAAAGAAAAAAAGGGAGTAAGTGCAGCTCCTTTACATGACTCCTGAGGTACTTGCCTGCCAGTGTGTCCAGGGGGGAGAGAGAGAAACATGACACCAGTGCTCCTGCCCGTCTTGGGATTGAACGCGATCACCCGGAACGCAGGGTTTCCGCAGGACTCGCTCTCTTTGGCATGAGGGTGACTTAAAACAACAAACAGGAGGCCCTGGTTTACAAAGGAAAAATACCACATTAGAGCGAATGATAGAAGAAAAATCGTTACGCCTTCTCCTGTAACCAGGCACCTGTAGCAACTATGTGCTGTGACCACTTGCCCCTCTAGATATTTTTGAAGGGTCTCACACCACAGTACAGATGCAAACGAACAAGAATATCATGCTTCTATGCTCCACTCTGCAATTGTCTTGTGAAAGTACCGGAGATGAGGCTTAGGTTAGCAGAGGATGTGGCCTGGGGTTGCTTCTGGTACAATAGTGCCGATTAGTTTGGGTGATCATAAGTTTCTCTCTCAAGGCATGAATGGGAGTCTAACTCAGCATATAGACAGCAGGATATTTTTTTTTTACATACGTACGGAGTCAGAATAGGCCCGATGGCACACTGAAGCTGGATAGGAATAACCAACATGCATTTTTTTCAGGAGCTGACCAGTTTTCAAGTTCCTGCAGGCCAAAGAAACAGAATTGGACTGTTTTACGTTCTGCAAATTGTCTGTATTCTTTAGACGGCTGCAGTACCGGTGTGTGAAATGCTGTCCAAATAGAGAGGGGAAGGCATGGTCCTTGCTCCAGAGAGCAACTGTCCTAAATAAATAGTGGACAAAGGCTGAGGATGGAAGCTGTGCTGTCATCATCTTACTGCTCATTTGCTGTGTTTTCATCTGGATTTATAGAAACAAAGCAGAAATTCTGCCCCAGGCTCCAGGCCTCACTGACAATTAACATTTCAATAGATCAGAAGCAAACTGTGCTCTATGCCCTGTGTGACTAGATCCCATAGCTAAGGACTAGGTGCCCCTTGCCGCCCCCCACAATAGATCACCTTGCTAGCAACATTCCCGCTCCAAAGTCCCGGTGACAGAAGCAAGCACTTACCAAACAACAACACTGTTCACTGTTGTAGTGCCGATCAAGGCATCTCTAATACCTTCTACCTCAGCAAAAGCCAGAACCGTCTCTTTTGGGGCCATCAAAGTCTTCCTCTTGTTATTTCTGGACAACACGTGTGGATAAACAGAAGATATTGGGGAAAACAGGCTGTCACATTACTTACTATGCAAGAGAACATGGAAAGGGTTCACATGCTGCAACACCCCAGAAAGAACAGCAAACTCCCTGCATGCAGCCTCTGAAGTCATCACCGCCGCTGAGACCGTCAAACTGCCAGCCTTCTTACCTTCCTGGCTCCAAGAAGGAGATTATCTCCACTTGCTGCTCTTGAAAGGTCCTGCTGCTGCTGACCAGCCTCCTGTCTTTTAGCCCAAGAACAGCTTTTATGTTTCCAGTTTTCACTACTGATTGCTTTAGGGAGCCGTCTTCAGAAGAACAAAGCAAGACCCTAAACCAAATCAAAACAGAAGGCTGCATTGTGAAGGAGAAAGGAAACCACCCAAACATGGCTTTCGGCATCACCCAGAAATGATTACGCTTTTATCAGAGGAAACAAGGAGTAAGAGAATCCTTGTAGGGTAATTAAGTTTCTGCTTCTGCTAAGCATTTCCCATTGCTAGAGTGCTTTTTAAAATAGTACTTGGAACTGACAGATTAGCAAGAGATAACTTCAGCCTCTGTGCAAGAGAATTAATTAGCAGAGCGTTCTTTGATGTCAAACTGGAGAAACTGGGAGGTTAGAAGTGTTCGGTATAAAATAAAAGCCACACGCCCAGGATGACTCACCTTAGTTCTCCAATCTCCAAGTCCCCCAAGGCTGCACATACCAGATTATGGACATCTGGCAGAGGAACAATTTGTATGACTGGCTTCTATGAAGGCAAAGACAGGTAATTAGTTTCAACCACAGTATAATTTTTAGTTAGATTTTCTATATCATCTAAAGACAATTGAACTAATTTTTCCAACCCCTTAAAGAACAGTTAAATTAAGCAGAAAATCTACCACCATCAATTCTTCCCCTAAAAGACCTCAAACAAAACAGGCAAGTTGAAGGAAGAGCAGGCTCCTAATGTAAGCAGCCAGGCTGCCGGGCAATTAGCACTCAACATTTCACATGGAATTGACTTACCTGCCCCCCCAGAATCAGGCTATTTCTTTAACTGGTGCAAATCTTTTTCCTTAGTTGGCTTTGATGGAGCTACACCAGTTTATGCCACCTAAGGAATCTCTCCCTGAGTCTGCAGTTATTTGCTTCTTGGGAAGTAGTCCAACATGATCAGACAATTGCCCCAAACCACAGAAATAAAGTCTCTGTCTTGTACCTCTGTGAGGTGCCAGGTGCACATATTTCTCCACTGGTCAGAAGACAGAGGTTTCCATAACGAAACGGAGGTCTCGCAAGCAGTCACAATGCACAGTTCTGGGCAGCCAGTCTCTTCCCACCATACTGTGCTCACGTCCACGGCACAAGAGCCAGAGGGATCCTATCCAAAACAAAAGTGCTGAAGTTATTCCAGTAGCCACAGCTACTGATCCTGCAGATCCACCCTGCCACCCCAGTAAGGGCTGTCCTGCAATGAGGGGTTGGAGCTGGTGCTCCAGAGCGTTACCTCTATGCCCTGGCTTCAACGGCTATTAAGGCAACAAGGAAAATGAATACAGTGGGCTTCATCCTGGGAATAGAGGGTATCTACCCATCCACATCAC